GTTTATATGAAACCAAAAAGCTTTATCACAGCAAAGGATACAGTCAAGAGCATGAAGAGAGAACCTACAGAGTGGGATAAAATCTTTGCCACATTCACTTCAGATAAGGCATTAATTTCCAGAATATACAAAGAACTCAAAAAGCTTAACACCTAAAAAGCAAATGACCCAGTCAATAAATGGGCTAAGAAACTAAACAGACACTTCTCAAAAGAAGAAATATGAAAGGTCAACAAATACATGAAAAAATGTTCAACATGTCTGCCTATTAGAGAAATGCAAATTAAAACTACACTGAGATTTCATCTTACTCCAACTAGAATGGCAATCTATCAAGAATATAAGTAACAACAAATATTGTCAAGGATGTAGGGAAAGGGTTCACTCATACATTGTTGGTGGGACTGCAAATTAGTGCAACTACTCCAGAAAGCAGTATGGAAATTCCTCAAAAAACTAGAAATGGAGCCACCATTTGACCCAGTTATTCCACCCCTTGGTATATACCCAAAGCAGTTAAAATCAGCATACTACAGTAACAGCTACTCAATGTTTATAGCGGCACAATTCACAATAGCTAAGGTGTGGAACCAACCTAGATGCCCATCAGCAGATGAATGGATAAAGAAATTGTGGTGTCTGTACACAGKGAAATATTACTCGGCCATGAAAAAAGAATGACTTTAGGGCTGGGGTGTAGCTCAGTGATAGAGCACTTGCCTAGTATATGTGAAGCACTGGGTTTGATCCTTAGCATCACATATAAATAATTAAATATATAAAAAGGTATTGTGGGCTGGGGTTGTGGCTCAGCAGTAGAGCACTCGCCTAGCATGTGCAAGGCCCTGGGTTCAATCCTTAGCATCACATAAAAATAAATAAATAAAATAAAGGTATTGTGCCTAACTACAACGAAAAAATAAATATTTGGGGCTGGGGTGTGGCTTGCCTAGCACGGGCAAGGCCCTGAGTTCAATCCTCGGCACCACATAAAAATTAATTAATCAATTAAAGATATTGTATCCAACTACAACTAAAAACTAAATATTTTTAAAAAAATAGAAAGGTATCATGTCCATCTGCAACTTTAAAAAAAAAAAAAGAATGACTTTATTGGCCAGTAAATGAATGGATGTGGAGACTATCCTGCTAAGTGAAATAAACCAGTCCCCAAGAATAAATATTTTCTCTGATATGTAGATACTAACCCACAATAAATGCGGGGGGATAGAAGTTCAGTGGATTAGACAAGAGGAATGAAGGGAAAGGAGAGGGGACAGTGGAATGGGAATTAATCTGACATAATTCTCCTTTGTGCATAAAAGAATACACCACTGTGAAATCTCACCATCCTGTACATCCACAAGACTAGGATCCTAATTAGGATCTATTCCATGCCTGTATAAATAGATCAAAATAGATTCTACTGTCACATGTAACTAAAAACAACCAATAAAAAATGCATTTTTCCAATCACCACAGGGTAAAAGAAAAAATCACAATGGAAATTTAAAAATACTTTTAAATACAACATCATGTGAATACTATCTGTCTGAACTAATGGAATGTAAAACAATACATAGAAGGAAATTTTAGCATGCTATAAATCATCATTGTGTATCCTGAGACATAAAACAGATAAGACATATAAACCACCTTATGCCAAAACGTTTTAAAATTTACTTTTTAAAAAATATTTATTTTTTAGTTTTAGGTGGACACAATATCTTTATTGTTTATTTTTATGTGGTGCTGAGGATCAAATCCAGTGCCTAATGCAAGCTAGGTGAGCACAGTACCACTGAGCCACAAGCACAGCCCTAAAAATCATTTTAAATGGTAAAATTCTAGAAAAATATAACTTGTCAAAACTGACTATGTGGTAGACTGAGTAATGGTCCCAAAAGATATCTACATCCTATTTTCTAGAAGTTCCCTTATATGGCAAAGGTCAATCTGCATGTGATTGAGGATCTTGATATAAGGAGTTTATCCTGGATTATCTTTTTGGGCCCTAAATAATTACAAGTGCCCTTATACAGGCAAGACAGGCAGATTTTAAACAGAAGTCAAAAGGCAATGGAAGCAAATAGAGATTTAAAGATGGACGAATGGGCTACAGACCAATGAATGCAGTTCTAGAAGCTGGAAGATTGAAGGAAATGGAACTTCCCAAGGTCTCCTTCAGAAAACAGCTCTACTGATACCTTGATGTATTCCCACAGGGCTCCATTCAGATTTCTGACCATCAGAACTGTCAATTGATTAACTTTTGTTGCCCTCAAATTTATGGTGATTCATTATAGCAGCTATAGGAAACTAATACACTGACACTAGAAAAAATGGAAATTCAGACCCACAGTGTGTCATTCGTGGCCCAGTTAGAAGATAGAAGTTACCTAGTTTTTCAAGTGAGAAGACGTGAAAGCTTTGTGGTGGTGGTGGTGGTGGTGTTCGGGGCTTTTTTGGTACCAGGGATTGAACTTAGAGGCACTTAGCCACTGAGGGCACATTCCCTGCCCTTTTATGTATTTTATTTGGAGACAGGGTCTCACTAAGTTGCTCAGAGCTTTGCTAAATTGCTGAGGCTGGCTTTGAACTTGTAATCCTCTTGCCTCAGCCTCCTGAGCCACTGGAATTACAGGCTTGCACTACCATGCCTGGGTTCTGACTTGTTTTCTAAACTAACTAAAAGTCTGTCTTAGCAAATATATCATCATGTTTGAAAAGAATATATATTCTGCTGCCATTATGTATTCTGTGCATTCTAATTAGGTCAAGTTGGTTGATAATACTATTTGAGTCTACATAGTTCCTTAATTATTTTTGTCTACTTGTTCCATGTGAAGAGAGCATACTAACTCTTCAACTACACCTGTGGATTTTGCTATCTCCCTTTAGTTTTGTCAGTGTTTGCTTCTTTTGTACTGGGGATTGAACCCAAGTACACTGTACCGAAGAGGGGTGGGGGAGAGTTGTTTTATTGTTTTTGTTTTTTGAGACAGAATCACACTAAATTACCCAGGGTGGCCTCAAACTTGTGATCCCCTTCCTCAGTTTCCTGAGTCACTGGTGTTACAAGTGTGTACCACCATGCCTGTGTATTCTGAGGCACTGCATTTTGTGAGCCCCCACCAATGAATGCAGTTCTAGAAGCTGGAAGATTGAAGGAAATGGAACTTCACCAGATTCATCCCAGGTGCAGAGGCTGACATGTGTGGGTCACTTTATGGCTCCTTCACAATGCCTGCCCTGCTTGCTGCTGCAGTGAACCCGGGCTGGAGATATCGACCTTGAATCCCACAATATGGGGCCCAGCACAGACTTTAGAGCCATATATATCCAGTTTCATATGCCAGCCTAGTCCCTCACAATCTGATTCTTGAGGGAATCCATTTTCCCTTTTTTAAATAGATGATGGTAACCCCTGACCTCAAAATATTCCTAAGGACCCARCATGGCCATGGATGAAAAGAGCCAAGGACAGTGCCCTGAGAGGTGCCCTGAGTCTCTGCTTCCTGCCCTGGCCTGACCTTACTGTCTTCTCACACATGCCTCCACCTCTTGCCCTCCATCAGCAGTCAAAGTTGTCTCTTCTAACCTTCCCCAGGAAAGGCTCCCCAGGAGGCACAGCAGCCTCCCCTCCAGGACCTTCTCACCCTCTCTACCAAGCTGAAACCTCTTGCTCCTTCCCCTTTATCAAAAGAGCCACTCCCAGACCTCTGCTTGGAAGTAGGAGGGCCTGGGAGGACCCTGCTAAGGAGTGTTGTCCCAGCCCCAGCCTCAGGTGTTCAGCCACGAGGTGTTCCCTGTCTGTCAGCTCAGGGCAGGGTCAGCATGTCAGTGGCTGAGGCTAACATGGGAGGTTTCTTAGGAGGAGCAACTCACAGAACCAGAAAGACCAGTCGGACTGGAACTGGAGTCTATCACCTCCTTTCTCTTGTTGCCATTGTTCATGCTTTTGTCCCATCATGTAGGCTGCATCCTGCAGTGTGGTGGATATGGCCACAGCAGCTCCAAGCTTGGGTCATTCCAGCTGAGCACCCACAGTGGCAGGAGGGCGCCTCCCACTCAGCTTCAGCATATAAAGAAGGATCTTAATATAGAAGAGATTCTGATCATCATCTTGGGTGACAGAGCCATCCTTTAGATGTTTACTTGGTCAAGGGGACCAAGATACTATGATTTGCCAGGCCTGAATCATATGCCACAAAATTAAGGTATCATTGAGAGCCTTATTAGAGTCATGTGGAATTTTAGGGTGGAAATGGAGAAAGGATCAATGAGCATTCACCTGCCCCCCTGCCAAAATCAGGGGGATCTGGGTAGACAGAAACAGCAGACCACCTCATGTTCTGTCCAGGTCATCTCCCTGACCAGTGGTCAGGCCCCTAAGAAGTTGTATTTTGCAGCTGAGGGCTGATTGGCAAGCACAGGCCTCGGTGTCAGGGAGGAAACCCATGTGTTTATCTCAAGGATGATCCCTGAGTGTTCTGGGAAAGGTTGGGGAGGTAGAAAATGCTCTGAGGGAGGGTCTGTCATCCAGAGCCCTCACTCTAGGACCATGGGCAAATCATATAACCCTTCAGAGCCTCCATTTTCTCTCCTATAAAAGGGTGTGGTCACACTTCTGTAAAATTTTGATGAATCACTGACATTTTGCCCTATTAAAACAGTAAGTGCTGATGATGTTTTCTATAACCAGATTGTTCCAGTCCATTCACATATGCTATGTTGATTTCATTAGACCACCTCTTAAGTTGGGCCCTAGCCTTGGCCTGGGTTCTGGCTTATATGCTTGTGGACAAGTGCCAGTGTCCAGAGGAATTAGAGGGGTGTCCACCAAGACTGTCATCAGCAGGGGATAGGAAAGCAGGAAGAATGTTGGTCTAGCCTTTCAAAGCAGAGCTGCCTTTGTTAGGGTTCATGTGAAACATGCAGCTGAGGAAATGTGAACTAAGGTTTAAGGCTCAGTCTCCTATCTGTTTTCTGAATTGTAGGAAGAGTGGAGCCAAAGAGAAATTGTGAGTGTGGCCATGGCTCAAGCCCTGGAGGAAGTGCGAAAACAAAGGGAAGAGCTCCAGCAACAGGTGGGCCCTGTCTGATACCTAGGTTTGGGCCCAAGTGGTGATGCCCTCTCCTGCAGTGCCCCACTGTTGTGGGACTGTCGAGGTCCATCTGTCTAGGGTTGGGGTGGACATCAGTCTCTGAGATGCAGTCTGCTGTGGGATGCCCTGTGGAGATGATGTTCAAAGAAACCCGTACCCCATAGGTTACCCTTTTCTGATTTTGGTGGTCAGATACTAATTGTCTAACCATTATCTGAAGGAAGTCCTCAGCCAGGGACTTACTGGACTCTTAATTCTATGAGGTGGCCCATCACTGCCCATGTCCACCGAAAACTCCAGAAGAGTGGGTTGATGTTTTGGCAGGAAGTGTGGGGAAAGCCAGCCTTTGGAGACAGACTTAGCCTCTGGGCCCATCCTTGCTTGTTTTCCAACTTGAGGCCTTTAGTGAGTCCTTGACAAATCTGAGTCTGAGTCTCCTCTGAAAAAGACTTCAGGATAATCACACTTGTAGACAGTGGAATGAAGTTCACGTCAGATGCCCACCCAGTATGTCAAATCGCAGGTGCTCAGCAAAGGGAAAGGCAGGGTTATGACAGCATGTTTTGGAGGGCTACATCTCTGTCTGTCTCATTGTGGGCCAAGGGAGATCACCCTAAAGCAGGGCCCCTACCCAGGAAGATGATTTTGCACATGTCCATAGGAGCAGAATTTCCTTGGGATTGTTCTAGGTCATGGACTTCGGGGGCACGTGGGCACACTGGGCACTAACAGTCCTGTGAGAACTGCTGTGAGCCCCCTCTCACACTGGTTTCTCTTCTCCAAGGCTACTGAGCTGACAGCTTCAATAGACAAGAAGAACCAGAGTTTGCAAGAAAAGGCTGAAGAGCTTCTCCAGAAGGAGCAGGAAATTCTCCAGCTGGAGAAAGGTGAGGAGTGGTTTCCTGACTGTGTCTGGTGTCCCTGCCCCAAGCTGGCCCTGTCATACAGCTGGAAGACCAGGGATCATGCTGCATACTCCCTCTGCTGCCCTAGGTCATGCCTCTGCCATGCTGCAGATGCACCAGCTACAGAGTGAGCTGGAGGCCCTGAGGAGTCAGAGGGCCGAGGAAGTCCTGGTGACCGCAGTGCAGGAGGAGCTGCCAAGGCTACAGGGCCAGGAGCCACATGTAAGTCACAGCCATGTACCGAGGCAAAACACAGGGCACTTGTTCTGTGCTGTGGTGTCCTTTCTTTCAGTGGGGTGTTCAGCTGGTGAGGAGGCTGTGAGGCCTGCATGCCTTCGTGTGTGTGGCACCTGTCAGTGTGCAGGCTGTCAGTGTGACTGTGTGAGAAGCTGGTATCCCTCTGGAAGGCACTGGGTGGGTCTTGTGTTGAACGCTGGCTCCTGGCAGCTCAGGAGGCCACACCTATGGAATAAGCTCTCCTCTTCCCCATACACCTGCTGCTTAATGTCAACATTACCTGTCCTGCTCTCAACTTGCTGCCACCAACCACCCATAGGTAACCTCAGAAGCTATGCAGGACCCCATGTGCCAGCTTCCAGCTGCAGACGGAACACCAAATGGAGAGGTTGGGGCCATGGATCTAGGGCGGCTACAGAAGGAAAAACAGGACTTGGAGCAGCAGCTTACAGAGAAAAATAAGGTGAGGCCCTTTGTCTCTGTGTGTCTCTGTCTCCACCCTCAGCCTCAGAGTTTGTCTGTTCTCAAGGGTTTTGCCAGTGCCCCCAGCTCCTCTGAGGAGGTTTTACCTGGCTTTCAAAAGGTCTTCCTCCTGCTCTTCCGCTTCTCTTTTGCCCTTCTTGCTTCCACTTCCCCCAGGCCTCTTGAGCTACTGTCCAGAGTGTCTGAACCTGAATGGCAGTCAGCCCAGCCGTCCTGCTGGCTCCCAGCTGGGCCATATGGACAGCCCCTCCCCTCTTCACTTCCTCTCCACAGCTGGGAACACCACTGATCCTGGCCTCTGAGGGGTCCAGGTGGTTAGAAGGAAGGTGTTTGTTAACAGGACTGCAAACACTGTGGTATCTGGTGGAAGCTCAATAAATGTCATGATTCCACCCACCCCACCCTGCGTCTGCACCTATGAATTCAGGTTCTCATTTCATCCTGGATTTGAAAGTGCCCTGCAAACTTAGAGGCTAGCTGGATATTGCTCTGGCCTGAAATTCTTCCCCTAAATTTTTGTGGGGGCAGGACTTAGATGATAAAGGAGAAAGGTGTTCATCCCCCCTTGAATCTCTTCATGAGAAATATGATATGTGTAATCCTAGCACCTCAGGAGGCAAGGCTGGGGATGTGGCCCAGTTGTGGAGCAGCAGCAGTAGTAGAACCTCTGGGTTCCATCCCCAGTACAAAAAATGAGAGAAAGAGAGTACAAAACAAATGTGTGGTTCAGTGAACTAACACTGACATAATCAGAACATTGCCAGCATCCTTGAAGCCAAGGCTCCCTCTGGCTCCACATGGCCCCCTGGTGGCCAGGATCCTCTCATAAAAATGGTTGCCCTGTTATCTTTAATACTACTGCCTCAGCACATGTTCCTGGCAGTAGAGTTTAGTTTTGCCCCTAATGAACTGAACTCAGCTTTGCTCTACCTTCTCTCCTCACCACCCCCCCAGTCCTGCCTCTTCCACCCCATGATCCTGCCTTGCCTGCACAGCCACCCAGCCCTCCTTCCATCCCACTCCTCTCACCTCCTTACTGGCCTTGGTCCAGGTGCTGTTCTCTCCTCTTGCTCCATCATAACTTTTTCCTCCAAGTCATTCTGTCCACTGACAGTATGAGATGATGAGACTGTATCATGCTGTTGACTCCCGTCCTCGCCTCCGTACTGCCAACCTCTCCACCCTCCTCTAGCGCACTTGCCATCCTCTTTTCCACTCCTGTTCTCATCCACCCCAGTCAGGCACTCCCCTGCCTCTCCACAGAGAAAGAGCTCTTGTCAAGCTCACCAGTGACATCCACCTTACTAAATCCAGAAGACCTAATTTTTCTTCTAATTGGTAGCACTTGGCATACATTTCTGCCTTGAAGCTCACCTCTGATGGCCCGCTCCTTCTCTGCTCCTTGAGGGGCCGTGTCCTCCCCACTCCCAACACCATGTAGCACAGGGTCCAGCCCCAACCTCTATCTACACTGCACTTTCCCTTGGGGATGTCACATTCCTAAGCTGCATCCTTGCCTTCATGAGATGGCCCCATGAATACATCTGCTCTATTTCCACATGAGTATTTAAAAGGCATCTTAAACTTAAAACATCCAGAACCAAACTTGAGTTTTCAATTCTCCTTGGCTTTACTGCCATCTTTTCCATCCCAATAAATGACAAAATCCTGAGAGTCATCCTTAACCCCCTGGTTCTGCACCACCAACACGAGAACAGTAGTATATCCTTGACTATCCCTTCAAACTATACCAAAATCAATTGCTTCTCACCACTGCCACACTGTCACTTACTCTGGGTTGCCATAATCTCTTTTTTAGAAGGTGGTGTTGGATTTCTAGATGGTTTTGCATCTGTCATCTCGCCTCCCCACTTTTAATCTCCTCCATCCCATCACCTCCTCTCAGCCTTGTCTTTCTGTGAATATATCAAGTACCCTCTCACCTCAGTGCCTTTCTGCTTTCTGAGCCTTTGGCCTACGCAATTCTTGCCCTGATTATTACCCTCATCACCCTGACAGATCTCACCATCAAAATACCCTAACCCTACAGTAATCTGTATACGGGGTAAAATTGGGAGTTCATAACCCACTTGAATCAAACTGTGAAATATGATATATTAAGAACTATGTAATGTTTTGAATGACCAACAATTAAAAAAAAAGAAAAAAATAAATAAAAATAAACATTTTCAGGGTGAAAAAAAAAAAATACCCTAACCCCTTACCTTGCTTCTGTGTCTCTCAATACCTTCTGATATGCTACATATTACTTACTGTCTTCCCTCTGAGGGTAGATTTTTTTTTGGTGGGAGGGAATGCTGTGGGTGAGCCCTGGGCCTTGAGCATGCTAGGCAAGCATTCTACCACTGAGCTACATCTCCAGCCCATGACAGTATCTGGCACATCAGTAATTACTAGACGAATGAATGAATGATCAGGAAACCAAGTAAGAAAACATAAAATACCAAATATACTTTTGGGGGAATGTCCAGCCTCATGGTCAACCTAAAGAATACAAATTGAAACCACATTGGGCCATTTTATATATCCAGGTATGTTGCAGATGATTTAAAACGCATGACAGTCCAGGAGCTCGAGGCACTTCTGTGAGTCTCCAGAATCTCACTCCCTCAAGGGAATACCTCTTGAGGAAACAAAGCTTATTCCAGTCTTGTTTAAAAATGGGAACCCAGAGGCTGGGGTTATAGTTTTAGTGCCTAGTACATGCAAGGCCCTGAATTCAATCCTTAGCAACACACACACACAAATAATAAAACTGGAAACCCAGCCATATAGTAAGATATGGGTCTTCCCCTAGAGTTATTGTCAAAACTACTATTAGGAAAACTAGAAATCTGTGAAAACTGATGACAAAGTATTCAAAATGCTAATGATTCAATGGAAGAATTGGAGATTGGAATTAGAAGTACACAAGAAGGGGCTGGGGATGTGGCTCAAGCGGTAGCACGCTCGCCTGGCATGCGTGCGGCCCAGGTTCAATCCTCAGCACCACATACAAACAAAGATGTTGTGTCCACTGAAAACTGAAAAATAAATATTGAAATTAAAAAAAAAAAAAAAAGAAGTACACAAGAGGGGCCTGAGGTTGTGGCTCAGTGGCAGAGCGCTTGCCTAGCATGCGTGAGGCACTGGGTTCGATCCTCAGCACCACATAAAAAATTTAATAAAGGTATTGTGTCTGTCTGCAACTAAAAATACATTTTTTTTAAAGAAATGTACACAAGTACTGGGGATATAGCTCAGTTGGTAGAACGCTTGCCTCAAATGTACAAGACCCTGGGTTAAATCCCCAGCATCACACAGACCAAAAAAAATGTACACAAGAAACCCTCATTTTGATATGTGACAGTTGTGAGATTTTGGAGAAATTTTTATTTAAAAATTCTTCCCTGGGGGCTGGGGATGTGGCTCAAGCTACGTACCGCACTCACCTGGCATGCATGCGGCCTGGGTTCGATCCTCAGCACCACATACAAACAAAGATGTTGTGTCCTCTGAAAAAACTAAAAAATAAATATTAAAAATTTTCTCTCTCTCCTCTCTCCCCCTCTCTTTAAAAAAAAAAAAAAAAAAAAAAAAAATTCTTCCCTGAGCTTACTTTCTTAACTGCAAAACAAAAACTAAAATTCCCAGTCTGCAATTCGGCAATTTAGGAAGCTGAGGCAGGAAGAACGCAGGGTCAGGCCATCTTGGGCATCTTAATGAGACCCTGTCTCAAAATGAAAAATAAAAAGGGCTGGGATGTAGCTCAGTGATAGAGTACTCCCTAGCATGTACAAGGACCTGGGTTCAAATCTCGGCACCGCAGAAGAAAAAAACAATTCCTGTATTGCTGATTACAAAATTTAATTGGAAAAATAGAAGTTAGCATTCCTAGTGAATAATGGAAGGTGTAATAAATTTTATTCAAGGCTCATAAGGCTAATTAGCTTACTAATTTAAAATAAAATAAATGACATAAAACCCAGTGTTGGTGAATTGTGTAGAAAGACTGGTCTTTTACACTGTTCAAAATAGCACTACAAATTATTGTAGTATTTCAGGAGAGCAATGCTGATGAGCACTACAAATTCTGGCTCAAATAGCCTACTTGGGGATCATGGCTATGCAATAGACTTTTTTCTTTCTTTGTTTTTGACACAGTGCTGGGAATTGAACCCAGGGCCTCCTACAAGCTAGGCAAGCCCTTTACCACTGAGCTACATTCCCATAAATAGAATTCTGAGGACAAAATAATGTTGTGCAGAGCTGTGCTACCCTCAAGCTCAGACCCAGGTTACAAAGGTGGTTGGGCAGTAGTGCAGCTGAAGAACAGGGTGACATGGTGACCACTATGGTACCTGAGGAAGCAGGGGAGTGGAGAGTGGCAGCATGGGAGGGAGAGAGCCGTGCATGGGCCGGCCAATGCATGTGGCGGCTGAGCATGAGCTTCTGGGGAGCTTGTAGCAGGTGTTTAGGGAACCCAAGCAGATGTATTTGTTTTCATTCACACCTTGGATATAGTCAAATGTGCCTCTAACGACTGGGTGTGGGTGGGTTTATCTCAGACCATAAAGCAGATGCAGCAGAGGATGCTGGAACTTAAGAAGACGCTGCAGAAGGAGCTGGTGAGTGCCCATGCCATGTGCCCACCCCCCCTCTTTTCCCCGCTCCCATGCTCTGGTTTAGGTCATTCTGGGGTCCTTTGCTGCCTGATGGTGCTCCCCCAGTTGTTTGCCAAGGGATCTCCAGGAGGTCAGGTGTGGGCAGGTAGAACAGCAGTCTTGGGCACATGCCTGTCTTCTCTGTGCCTGTGTCCTCACCTGCACGTGGGGCTTGCACTGGGAGTCCTTGTGCAAGTCCTTGTGGTACAGGGTGTATATGGCAATGTTTGGATCAACATGGGACAAGAGCAGCATCTTTGTTCCAGGCTGGGATGCTCTTTGTCTCAGAGACATGTGTCTGGAAGCACTACCTTATGCCTTCCTAGCCATCAACCCTACCCGCAGGAGCTGAGCCTTCCTCAGACTCTGGTGCTTTCTTCCAGGTTGGGGCCCTTTTGCCCTGTAAGGGGCAGGTTAGGCAGAGAGCAGCAGGTGATCGCAGCTGGGGCCAGGGAACAAACCCCCACACACACTCTTGATTTTCTACCTGTCTTGGAGGGTTCAACTTAACACTTTTCCCATTGGTTTTGTCAGAAAATCAGACCCGACAGTGAGCTTTTTGAAGTCCGGGAAAAGCCAGGCCCTGAGATGCCAAACATGGCCCCTTCTGTCACTAATAATGCTGACTTGACTGATGCCCGGGAGATCAACTTCGAGTACCTTAAACATGTTGTTTTGAAATTCATGTCCTGCCGAGAATCCGAGGTAAAGAGCTTCCAAGCTGCCTTTTGGGTATTGAGCCCAGCCCTGCTCGTAGCTTCCCACCCAGTCCACTTCCTTCCCTCCCCCACCTCCATGTTCCATGTGGATACTTGGCCATTTCTCAATCAGCAGTGGCCTGCTGATTGAGCCATAGGAAGGTAGAGACCACGGAGGAAACTGGCTCATAGGGGGAGATATAAGCTCCACTTTCAAATCTTAACTTGGATGCTAAGGCCAGAGTCTTGGGAACAGAATCCACCCAGCATTCCTGAGTACTGCCAAAAGAGCAGAATAACTGCAGAGGATGTTCTCTTGGTCCTTCCAATCCCCGGAGTGAGAGATGGGTGCGGGGGGACAGAACATATCATTGCTGACATACTTCAGAAAGTACAAACTTCAGCTACTTGTCCTTGCTAATCAAAGCAAACAGGAAATGCTGTCCCATTTAGTCCCCTTACTTTCTGTCCCCACCCCACCAAGCAAAACCTGTTTTGTTTCAGGCTTTTCACCTTATAAAAGCTGTGTCAGTGTTGTTGAACTTTTCACAAGAGGAAGAGAACATGCTCAAGGAAACTCTGGAATATAAGGTAGGGTTCTGATCTGCTGTTTCAGCTGCCAAACACTCTAGCCAGACATCCCAGCACTGGCAAATAAGACCAGCCCCTGGAGGCAGGTAACCAGTCACAGTTGCATCATCAGCTGAGTTGCTTTTGGATGATGAACTTGATCTGAGTACTGAGGACTTCTTTTTTGCCCAAATGTGCTGCATTTGACGAGCAGACTGTATTTTTTTGGAGCATTTTTGTTGATAGCACTTCATCAACAACATCACATTTGGCATAGCACTTAAAAAAAAAAAAATTCTGGGCTAGGGATGTAGCTCATTGGTAGAGTACTTACCTAGCATGTGCAGGTGCCCTGGGTTTGATCCCTAGCACAACAGCAAGAAAATTTTTTTGAAATCACCTGCATAAATGCTGAAACAGAAAAAATTACCAGCAGCCGGGTATGGCGGTGCAACCTCTAATCCCAGCTACCAGGGAAGATAAGGGCAAGAGGAGAATCACAAATTCTAGGGCAGCTTTGAAAACTTAGCAAGACCCCATCTCAAATTTTTAAAAAAGGGCTAGGGATATAACTGAGCAGAAGAGCACTGTGGGTTCAATTCCCAGTTACAAAAAAGAAAAACTTCCTTACAATTCTATTACTTTGTTCTCATCACCTCAAGTTTCTTTCCCACAATGGGGCTCTCAGCTCTGCAGACTGGTAACTGGAACCATTTCCATTGCTTTGTTCACAGCCAGTCAGGACAGCTGGAGGTTGGGAGCAGGGACTCAGGGAAGGAGAGGGGGCTGTTTCTGCTTCCTCAGCACCCAGTCCTGCTTCTCTTCTCAGGAGCCTTTTCTGTTTCAAACACAGATGTCGTGGTTTGGTTCTAAACCAGCTCCCAAGGGCAGCATCCGGCCGTCTATTTCAAACCCTCGGATACCATGGTCCTAGAGGGAACACCCAAGGATGGAGCTCCGTGGGTTGACATTTTTCTGTGAAAAGAACACTGACACACCAGCCTGGGTGGGTTTTTAATCACTGTAAATGCAGTATTTTGTACAAGCGTCTAAATATTGTTTACAAGACTTTAGACTACCTTCCTGCAGGCTGACATGAACCGCAGGAGGGAGCTGATCCTGTTATTCTGGTCACCCAATAGGGAGGGTCCCAGCACTACCCAGACTTCCAGTGCTGCTAATATCCTAGCCCTGGCCAACACGGGAGTCCTCTTAACATTAGCACGAAAAGCTGAAGCAGCGATCAGTATGTCAGGTTGCAACTGACTCATCATGTACAGGTGATGTATAGAGGCGACGACAGCCCTTTGAAATGGTGACCAGCAGGCCACACCCACCTGCTTCTGCCACAAAAAAGCCAACTCCATGAAGGTGGCTTTTAAAAGTCCCCTTCCGTTAGCGTATTTTGGATCAGTTGAGTTAGGAGAGGCTTTTGACCCTTCCTCTTGAGAAAACATCATTTCACTTTGTTTCCCACACCACCTAGAACTTGAGATGTGTTCATCTTTAAGGTACTCTGGGGCCAGTGTGGATTCATGAAGAATATGCAACTTTCTGACGGTGTCTCCATTTTACTTAAGAGAACTAGCAGTCAGATAAAGAGATTCTAAGTATAGTACCAAATACACTCAATTGCCTTTTTAATGAATGTACTTATCTTGGATAGGTTGCTGGTAAACCATTTTAAACTATTTTTTATAGCTAAATAGTTCTTCACTATTATAAACATATCTTCTGTATTATAAAATCCATGTAACTGGTGTTCTTAAAGGAAGATCAAATCATCAAGAGGAAATGTTTCTATAAACAGGATTCCTGTCCCTCTGTGATTCTATTCTCCGAAGAAGCCGTGGTATGTCATCAGCTTTGCTCTAAATTCTTACTACCACTGCTTACCACACGTTTTCTACTTAAGGATAGTCTGCTTTATTCAACCAGAGCAGCAGCTGTCCCTTCTTCCCTCAGCCTTGACCAAAACATTGGTGGCAGTCTGCCTTGTATGTGGAGCCACTCTCCCCATCACCCTGCCCCCCTGTATTTGACACTACATTCATGTGCAGCGTCCAAACAGCCCCAGCTGGCTGCAGTACTTGATAGCACACACATGCCTCCAACAAGAGCTGGCAAAAACTAGTATTCATTATTATGCTTGTTCTGGATAAGCCACAACATGGAATCTAAAAGGAAACCATTTACTGATTTATAGTTTGATAAAAGTTTCATTGATAAATAAAAAACTACTAATAACTGGAGCTCCTAAATTTATTATGTCATATATCTATGTAAAATTGTTCCTCAATTATGCTTAAAGTCAAAATACATATATATACAGACATACATAAAATATATCTCACAGAAAAACAAGTATTGGCAGTTTACTTCATTTCCATGAAGTACCAAGCCAGGGCAGCAAGACCTTACTTAGCCCAGCTCCGGCTCTCCCATGCAAAAGAACCATTCTCCAGTTACCTACCTCCTTGTGTGGTACTTCCTGCAGATGTCTGTCCCTTTAGAATGCTACTTCCCACCTAGTGGGGACATGGAACCAGAGCCCCTTTTGTTTGCTAACTTTGATGAGGAAGAGGTAGCTTCCTCCTTTTCACCTGTTCCAGGAAAGAATCCAAGGGGACTGATAGTTCATGGCTTACCAGAGGCCGCCACAACATTTCTGTGGAAGCCTGTGCCACTCCCTGGCAGTTTGAGGGGTGGTTATGAGGCCCGTTATGAAGTCCAGTAGCTTAAGACAGCTCCCTCTGACTAGGCTTTCCTCCTGCATGTTGAATTTCCTTCAGCTTTAAGAGGAAGAATGGAGTAAATATTCCAAGTGATTTAATGCACTTTTACTTTGTATAAAACTTTGTGATACAGTATATATACATATATATATATATATATATATATATATATATATATGTATGTATATATATTGCCCTTTATATGAGCATCAGACCTTGATCCACACGCTCAGTGTTGTAAAATAAGAACTGTATTACCTAAAAACTGCTGTAGAAAATTCATTTGTGGTGCAATACACTTTTGGATTAAAGTTCTTCAAACCAGAGACAACTACAGTGGGTTTTACTTGGTATACCTTGGCATTTCTTGACTTGTTAAATATAACATACTGTGTCTTATATTTAATGTTTCAAGGGTTGAGGTTTCAGAAAGAACTTCCCCAGGCTGGGCTTTTGATTATATGTGATTTAATGGTGCCAACAATCTAGTCTTCCCTCCCAAGCATCACATGGTTCTGCAGAGGAGCTGGGGAAGGCAAAGGCTTGTAGTCACTTTGGTCAAAGTCTATATCCAAGGCCTGACTGTGAGCTTCAGGAATTCGAGTAAGGGTCCTTTAACAGAATGCAAGTTGTAATTACACATGCTGAGAAGCAGCTCTTCTAAGAGACTCACCATTGGTGGTTATGTGGAACAAAATTTTGTTCTTTTTATGTCTGTTGGCTGATTGCTAACTGTTTCTGGTAGTTCTTTAAAGAAAACTTATAAGATTCCTGGAACACAGCAGACCCAGCATCAGGAGATATGACTAGGTACAGCCAAGGCCTACTCTCAAAAGACTCAAAAGTGTAATCACACAAACTGAAGACTTTTAAAGCCTTGATGAATTAGTAAATGTCTGGCACTTTATTAAGTTAAATAAGCTCCAAATTTACATACAAATCAAATGAGTAAGAAACAATAAATAGTTTTTCAACAAAACACCTCTCTGAAGCATCCAGTGACTCTGCAGCCAAGGCTTGCTGAAGTTCTGTGTGACAAGAGGCCTCCAGACTTCCATGCTCTCTCCCCAGGGATGGCTGGACAGAAAAGCACACCCACCCGTTCCACATGGAGTTTCTAGAACAGTCAAACTCTCATTCATGACCAACCCATTCATTAAACTTTTTACATACATGAAACACACCGCAATGATATACTAATAAGCCAAGAGCTTTATTGATGCAGCAGGCACTTTACAATGAACCCAAGAGAGTCCGCCTTCTCTGGGAAGACAGGATGTCTGTACAAACTCTCAGGTTTTTCCACTTCAAAAACACAAGCTCTCCGTTTCACCGTGGCCCTTGGATATGCACCTACCCAAATCATCCCTCCCCCATTTTAAACAAACAGGCAGTGCACACACAATGACCAACACTGGCCAGCCACTCTGTAGATAGTTCTGCATCACTCTATAGCGATGTCAGTTCTGCATCACTCTATAGCGATGTCAGTTCTGCATCACTTTGTAGACAAAGGCAGACTCTCGGATCCTGCAAAGGATTTAGGAAACAGTAAGATGATTTCTCCCTCCACCTCAAAAATAAAATACATTTCAGCCGATTTCAGCAGATATGTGTCCTGAAATACTTAGTTGGGAGTTCCTAGGAAGATGGTCCATTGTCAATCCCTTCTTCACCAGCCTGGGCATCCAAAATTCTTCTCAAGGTAACATGAGTCTTTTTTTTTTTTTAAACAGTCTTTCTTGCTGTAAGAACTCTTATAATGGAGCCTAGTCCTCCTACAGCTAAGGCCTGTGGGGGCAGGAAAAGGAAGCATGTCAAATGAGACCTGGATGACCAAGGGGGAGATGGAACCATGCATTCCTGGACCTAATCCCACTGTGTCACAGACCCTCTGACAAAGGATTCCTGCGAAGGAAAACAAGTTCTAGGGAAGGCGGCTTGTCTGGAGCCGAGGGTCCCAGGAGCTGCCAGCATTGGGGCAGTAGAACTGGCTTGAGAACACAGTCAAGGGGCATACGGCAGAACACAAAGTTTCTCTCAGGACAAGCTCACTGCTCCCAGCCTGTCAGCACTTCCCAAGAAAAAAAATGCACACCACCCCACAGGGCCAAGGGGATGAAAGGACCTGGCTTCCATGCCACACAGAGGGCTTGCTCACTCTCCTGAGCAACAAAGCCTCCTGCACCTACTGAGCCACAGCAAAGGGGCAGCCAAAAAGGAACAGCACACCTACCAGCAGGACTAGAGGCCACAGCCAGCACCCATAACCCAGCACCATGGCTACACGAGGATCTAACCACCAATAAGCATTTTCAAAACTCAATGCTGGCTTCCTAGGAAGGACAGTGTGTTAGCCGGGTCCTCTTTAATGGCAGGCATGCCACTGTAGTGTTATAAGGAGTTGAAGGTCGGGAGGGCTACAGTAGCACACAAGACAAGCTTGACACAAGGCCTTTTCCTACCCCACAAGCCAAGGGCAGAAAGCTTTTTTTCTACTTCAAGTGGATTAAATGACCATCAAAGTTTCTGCCCATGGTCCCTATGGGTCTGGAGAAGCCAGAAAGGCCAAGGCAGGAAGCCCTCAGAATAGGTGGGAGGGTTGGGCCTGCATTTCTAAGATCCCTCCACCCAATTCCCTCAGTAGCTATCTCCACCAATGCAAAGAAGGTATCATGAAGCCCCACCCAACCAGCATGCCTCCCTCCTACCTTACCATGCCATGGCACCTGCCCCCGTGTCCTGCCTGGCATAAATCAGCAGCTAAAAAGCAATAGCAACCACGATTACCAGAGACAACAGATACCTACCAGGTGCTTCTGTGGAAAAGCAGGTGATCGTATATCCGGGATTAGGACTCTCATTTTCATTGGCCCTTAGACTAGCCTAGGTTTATTTTGGAAAATCTTGGCCTACTGATTTGAATGCTGAGGCATGTCAGCAGGCTGCCTGAAGGGGGCGATGTGTTCACGTACCTTTTCGTGCCACTGGAGTAACACTGCGCTGCTATTTTCTGTGGGCTTCTCAAACCCTTTATAAATGTACTTCATTAACAAGTCAATGCCATTTCTGTCCAGTGATTGCACAGCCTGCTCAATTTCGCTGCTTTTAAAGTTTGTGAGCACTTTCAGCACCACACCCTGGGCTCGCTCCTACAAAGGAAAGAGAAAGGGAGTGAGGTCCAGAGCCACAGCCCAGCCACAACCACATTCACACCCACAGCACCAAATCAAGTGGGCAGAACTCACCAGAAATCTGCTCAATTTCAAATTCATCTAGGACAGTTGAAAAAATTAAATAGGCTAATTTTTTAAAATTAATTTCAATGTTACCCCCTTACTTATGCCAGGAAGTTATTCTACTTATTTTGGGGATTTTTTAAAACATCAGCAAGGCCTCGGACTCCACAAGATATAAAAGCAGTGAGCTTTTCTTTTTTTAAAAAAAAAATACTGGCTTACTTGGCTGCAGCTCGCCCTGAACATACCCAGAAATAGAGGGGCTGTTCCCCTCCACCACTGCAAAGGTACAGCTGCTAGGTTACATCAAGATGCTTTCAGAATCCTAGCTGCAGGGAGGCCCCTCTCCCTGCACCAAGTTTTAGATAGCCTCAATGATGCAACAGCATAATTATATTTTTGCACCTAGTTTTTAAAAGGCAGGAAGTGCAAAAGCACTTAAAATCCTTATTATGCATATAAAGCCTATTCAATAGCTATAAAAGCATAACCACTGATAAGCCCCACATGGCAGCTTGTCTATCTGTTTTGCTAATCATCAAGGGCTGGGCTAAGTTCTAGCCCCATAAGGCCCTAGGGAAAAGTCAGTGTTTCTTTGGGGAGCTTTTATTATAAACATAGYTTCAGGGCTAGGAGCCTAGCTCAGCAGTGCCTAGCAAACATAAGCCCTGGGCATCACAAAAAAAAAAAAAAAAATCACAGCTTTGATGTCAGAGGAATCTCAACATACGGGGAGTGCCAGGAGGCTTCCATGGAAGTACTACCCAGTGCCACTGTTGCTCAGATGAAGCAGACACTGTCCAGACCCCAAGGAGCTCATGCTCCAGCAAGACAACTGCAGCCCTGGTCCCAACAACACCCAGCAGAGCTGCAGCACAACCCCCTTTACCTTCACAGCTTGATTCTTGGTGTTGACTGGAGAGTTCCGCAAAGCTGCATGGAATGCCCGAAGCATGTCCCCTGTGCATCACTGCCAGTTAAGGATGGCTAGGCTAAAACATGTCCATGCTTTTACTAATGAAATCACTTAAAAAAACAGCTCAAAAGCAGAGTGAAAAGGGATCTAACACATTCCACCCATCATGCACTGATGGCCTCCTCCAAGTGGGCATAGCCTGTTTACACCTCAATCTTTTCTGAGCCTCAGGGAGGATGAAGGGCACCTCTGGCGACCCTAAGCCTTCCTTCCACCTCCCATTAAAAGCAGCTGTCCTTGAGGAGTAGCTTACAGTAAAAAGTGATTAAGCTTGCTTGTACCTGTTTAGTACTAGGCACCATATCTGCCCTACTGGGTCCTCATGGCAACAGTACACATGAACTAGAAGCCACTCTCAAGAAGGCACAAACAGGTCTAACTCTTGCCTAATACAACTACTAAACTACTAAAGAAATCAAGATGTGCTAAAATTTCTATTTCCCGGGTCAATTAAGTCCCAACTTTTTTTTTTTAAATTGTAGGTGGACACAATACCTTTAGTTTACTTATTTATTTATATGCGGTGCTGAGGATTGAACCCAGTGCCTCTCACATGCTAGGTGAGCACTCCACTGTTGAGCCACAACAACCCCAGCTGAAGTCCCAACTTCTGTGAGAAACTTTTGCCAATAAAATGAGCTGATCTCCATTTCCCTACTCCCCCAAACTTAGTTGGAATCCTGACACCACATTTTTTGCTGAATTCTGAATACCCAGCACACAAAAGAAAACTACAATCTGGGTTAGGTCCCCAAAGGTGACACCTATTTTAAACTGAATTACATCAGCCGACTTTCATTTCCTCATGTGAAACACTGGCTGCAGCCAAAAAGCTTCAAAAATAGAACAAGGAATAGCTCTGCCCAATCAGGTCTTTACTCCTGCACATGCAGTGATACCCACATGTGAACAGAGAGAGCCTCTGGTGCAAAGCTTAATTCCCAGCTTCCCTAGTGTGGACTCCATCTTGATGGAGCTGGGTCTATGCCATTCAGGCAAGCCACTCCCAGCCCTGGCTCCAATCCACCTTCTACATTGGAGCAGCAGCCCACCCCTCTTATCTTTCAGCTCCGGAATTCCTTTTAACCAGCCTTACAAGGGCCAATCCTAATACCAACCACTGATAACCTCTACCACGCAGTTTTGTTTTTCCCTGGTACTAGGATTTAACTGGGGGCACTTAGTCACTGCACTATATCAGGCCCTTTGTATTTTCTATTTGGGGACTGTAAGTTGTCCAGGCTGGTCTCAAACCTGTGACACTCTTGCCTCAGCCAATTACAAATGTGCAACACCATGCTAGGCTCCTTTCTTCTATTATGGTGTCCTCAAAGCTAAAGGCAAGGTCCCAGAGGCTTAATAAGACATATGGGCTAGCTCACTCTTCACTTCAACCTAGCACAGTGAGCGATTAGTCAACAGGATGGATAGGGAAGGGCAAGGATGATATAATTAGTGGATGAGGACAAAAAGTCACTGTTTTTAATGTTAAGTCCCTGCAGCACTAGTCTATCAAGGAAACAGTGCAGCCAATGACATAGGAGAGCCTGGAGCCACTTTGGAGAACTTCCTTGTAATCACATATCATTTATGAAGCTGGCCTCCGTACCCTTCTGGCTTTTAGGCTCATTCAAAGAACAGGCTGTGACAGCTGGGGGAAGCTTACCCAGCCCCTAGTCTCTTTTCTAGATTATTCTCAACCATGGTACTACAGATTTTTTAGACCACATGATTCTTTGATGTGGGATGCATCCTATAATTAAGCATTATAGGATGAATTTCAGCACCCCTGGCTTCTATCCACTAAATTGTGACAATCAAAATGTCTACAAACATTGGCAAATTTCCTGAGGGGCGGGGGAAGAGTGCAAGATCATTTAAAATCCTGCTTTAGTCCTTACTATGAGGACCAGAATTGCTTTACTGAGAAAAGGTACTATTGCCACAAGGCCTAGGACCTGGTCCAGGCGCTTTTCATATAATTTTAATTCCAAAAACCCTTTGTGACAAGAACCATTTTTTCCATTTAAAAGGTGATGAAACTGAGGCTCTGAGAAGGAAAATAACCTGCTTAAAAATCAAAAGTTAGGTTATCCAGCTGGCCTTCAAATGCAAGCTTTTTTCTATTTGTGTTACTGGGGATTGAACCCAGGGGCCCTCTACCACTGAGCTCCATCTCCAGCCCTTTTTATTTGTTGAGACAGGGTCTCTCGCTAAGTTTCCGAGTTTGGCCTCAATCTCATAATCCCCCTGCATCAGCCTCCTGAGTCACTGGGACTGCAGGTACACTCCACCTTGCCTGGCTCAAGCTCTTTCGACAATCTCTTGCTGCTGCTCTATCACTGTCCCAAGCTGTATGTCTGGGCACACTTGCTGGGTGCCCATTGTTGCTCCCATGGAACTGATGAGGCCAGCATGGCTATCTTTTGTTTAAGAGAAGAGGATGCTGAAGTTTAGAGAAGGAATGTGACCTATGCAAGGTCACCAGAGCACAACAAAGCAGATAGATCTGTATTGATATACAGCCCATGATCTTTCTACTTCTTCAGCATGATCTCCCACCATGATGACATACTTCCCACACACTCCCCAGTACTACCCTGAAACAGGCCTCTCTCTCAACTCCTCCACCTCCATCAACCTCTCTCCTACGCCCCTAAGACTCTTAAGAGGTTCTATAGTTTAAATTCAATGACCTAATACAAGTCCAATACTTGGCACATGGTAGGGATTCAAATAATAGTTCCTTCCTACTCCTTACTTTGGCCCACATTTGCCATGATTTCAGTTTTCCTCATCTGCTAACCTCCTTTTTCCCAATTCCAAATAGTATATACTCTTCATAGTAAGGTTTCTGGCACTACCATTAGTGGAAAACCTATTAACCCCTGCATGTTAATAGGTTTTATTAAAGAAAAAGAAAAGAAAAAACCTGCCTCAAGAAACCCAACTATAACTAGCCCTGGGCTTAGGGAGAAATACCTTCAACAAACCCTTGTGGCAACAAGACCAAGGCAGCAACTGGACCTGGCCTTGGTCTCTTCACCTATGGAATGAGAGTTCTGGACCAAAGGCCTGACCCTGGAGCCTTTTCAGCACTGTCTGCTCATGAGGAAGGCCCTGCACCAAACTAGAGAACCAACCTTCCCTTCAGGGGGCCCTCCTCATGACCCCATTTCACCAGTAGGGAAACTGAGCAATCTGGAGGAAGCAGGAAATACAAGTTTCGGTGTTCACCTTTGAAAACACATTCCTGTCCAAAGAAAGTCTGAAGGTTTTTGCTTTAAAGGCATATTGGAGGAGCACTACAGAACTCCTCCCAAAAAAAACAGTGGGCCTGATTTTCCAAGCTGAGTCAACTGATTAAACACCCAGAACCTGATTTATATACAGCAGGAGCCTCCAACCCTCCCCTGGCAAGTGTGGGGGAGGGGAACACACTTCCTGTAACACCATTTGAATAAAGAAAAATTCTTCCTGTGAGAATAAGTCAGTTTCCTGTGCTAAGGGACCAAGCAGGCTGTGACAATCACCTCTATTTTTAATCTTCTGTTCTAAATGCTTGTTTTCTGTGGCCACAAGAACCGTCATTTCTAATCTTGGGGCTCTACTTTTACACTTCACTCTACACTGTATGGTTTTTCTTAGCTCTAAACTAGTAGGGTATTTTTTGCACGGTTTCCTGTACAAGACTCCTGGGGGAGTCACAACTCACTTGTTGAGCTTGGCTGAGACCGTGAAGGTCCAAAGCCCAAGGTGTTCGGAGAAAAATGAAAACAGGTGAAAAAGGATGGCATCAAGCCGACTTTTGGGTAAAAGGCGCACAACCTCAGACTTCAATGCTGGGCTAAGGCTGCAGCCTTCATTCACCCCTTGGTCCCTTCTTCCCCGCAGTAAGCCACCCGCCCGCCCACCCATGCTGTGCTGCAATCGCGCCCAAGAAAGCAAATAGGAAGGCCCACGACGGTGCCCCCACCGCCGGACCGCTCAAACACTCAGAGGTGCTCGCCTCGGCTCCTCCCGCCACCGTCAAAGGGCCTAGGTCCTGCAAGGAGGGATGGAGTTATGGGGCGCCGGAAGGCAGGGTCAGCTTGAGAGGATGAAGCGGCAATGGGAGGGGGACCCGCCGAGGGAGCCTGCACACCAGGGTCCTGGGGCCGCGTGGGGCTGCGCTGCTGAGGCGGCGGCGCCAGGGGTGAGGGAACTGAGGGAACGTGGGCGGAGGGCAGCCGGCTCGCAAGGGAGTTGAGAGTGGCTACAAGGGGCCGGGGTAAGGGGAGTGGGGCCTGAGCCATGGATGGGGAAGGTGGGAAGGTGAGAAGGCGGGGCCGGAGCGGCGTCCGGCCGGAAGGGAGCGCTTAGGCCCGGCGCCGCGCCGGGGAAGGATATTGCCGCAGCAGCCCGTCCACCTCGCTAGGGTCCGGGCCTGGCTCTCCTGCTGCTGCCGCCGCCTCCTCATGCTCGTCCACGAATTTGTTCTCGTCAAACTCGTCAATGTCCACCCGACGGAAGCGCGAAGACAGCGTGTTCCGGGCCATGTCGGGGGCTCGGAGCCTGCCTCAGCCGGCTCCGCTCCGGGCCCGACCGCGGCGCCGCTCCGCTCCGCTCAGCACCGGCTCGGGCTCGGGGACGGGAAGCGGCCGCACGGCACCTCCCCCGCGCGCAGACGCCGCCGCACGCCCACTTCCGTCCTGCGCCGGAACCGGAAGCTCAGGGCGGGGCTCGACGGGGGGCGTGCCGACGTGATGGGACGGCCTGACATGGGGGGTAGTGTTCTTCCCGGCAGGTACCGAGAAAGCTACTCTCATCTTCGTGAGCCGAGTCTTCCATTGTAGGGAGCGAACGTCCCGTGCACGCACGGACCTGGCATTGTGTACGCCGTAACTGTGCCTCCCTGCCTCCGAGGAGACTCTGGCCCAGGGAGGCTGGCCCGGGGCGGCCACAGGCGAGGTCTCCCGACGTGGTCACTGCCCAGACCCGAGGGACACCGAAGTCGGGATGTGTTTCTGGAGCGCTGGGTAGACTTCTGCGGCCTGAAGGAAGTAAGAATTCTTATGCCCTGGGGAGTGACCAGAGAGGGAGTCCCTAAACCTGGGAGCCTTGACTACCACCACACTGAACCAGAGGAGGTTGCCAATGCTTTATACACAAAAGTGACCGTACTGTTAAAGGAGCGGGAGATTTTAAAGACGTTTAAAGTGTATCCAGGGGGCTGTCAAGACTCTGACAGATTTTACCTTGGGCATGTGGCAAGCTTGCAGTATATAGCATTCACCATGGCCCTGCGGGTAGGGGGCCAGGAGAGGTAGATGACTCCGTTGCCACCATACTGGCCCAAAGGGCTAATTCCGAGTGTGGAGAAGTTCTGACCAGACAAGTGCATCTTAAGAAGCTGACTTCCCAGAATCTGCTGGAAGGTGAGGAGGTTAGGACAAAGTCTAGTACAACTGAGGTGCCATGATTAGTTTCCTGAAGGGTTCTGTTAATTGACCTTTGACCCTTGCCTTAGGCTAACATGAGCCTTTTTCATACAAAAGTGTGAAAACTATTTTCCTTACATTTTCCTCTGATTGTACTTTTTATTAAAAGTAGTTGAAACATGACTTGTTTTCATTGCTTTAAGCCACCCAGTCTGCTATTTTGTTATGACAGCCAAGCTGATTCCTCCCCCACTCCCAACACTGTACTAAGGGATTGCTAGGCAAGTGCTCCATCACTGAGCTATATCCCCAGTCCATTTTCATTGCTACGAATACTTCACACCGAACAATCTACAGGTTAAAAAAGTAAAAAAAGGTGTTGGGGATGTGGCTCAAGTGCTCAATCCTCAGCACCACATAAAAATAAAATAAAGATATTGTGTCCACCTAAAAAAAAGTCAATATTAAAAAAAAAATAAAAGGAAAAAAAATATGCTGCCAGACTGTGATGCAACCTAACCTTGGAAGCTAAAGATACAAATTCCCACCATGGAAGTCTGAATAGTGTGAAGTTCTGGAAACTATCAAAACCCATATGTACTTCAGCTCCATACCTGGGAAGACATTTGTGTGACTTTGGTAGTCCACAAATCAGTAAAAAGTTCATATCCCCCAGAACATCCTGATCAGAAGATACTTGAAACCAGAAATGCTTATTTTACAAGTAAGGAAACAGACCCCCAAAAAGTGGTGAAAGAAATAATGTTACAGCTCATTGTCACAGACTTCCACTTGTCAGGGAGATAAGATTCAAAAATCCAGGGGCTGAGGATGTGGCTCAAGCCGTAGTGTGCTCGCCTGGCATGCGTGCCGCCCGGGTTCGATCCTCAACACCACATACAAACAAAGATGTTGTGCCCACCGATAACTAAAAAATAAATATTAAAATTCTCTCTCTTTAAAAAAAAAAGATATTGTGTCCACCTAAAACTAAAAAATAAATATTAAAAAAAAAGATTCAAAAATCCAGATTATACTATGTCAGTAATAACTGAATACTGAAGGGCAAATTTCTTAGATGAAGAATGCAGTCGTGCAGGGTGCAGTGGCGCATGCCTATAATCCCAGGGGCTTGGGAGGCTGAGACAGGAGGATCATGAGTTCAAAGCCAGCCTCAGCAATGGTGAGTTGCTTAGCAACTCAGTGAGACCTGTCTCTAAATAAAATACAAAATTAGCCTGGGGGGCTGGAGATGTGGCTCAGCGGTAGCGCGCTCGCCTGGCATGCGTGCGGCCCGGGTTCGATCCTCAGCACCACATACCAACAAAGATGTTGTGTCCGCCGAGAACTAAAAAATAAATATTAAAAATTCTCTCTCTCTCTCTCCCCTCTCTCACTCTCTCTTTAAAAAAAAAAAAAAAAAAAAATTAGCCTGGGGATGTGGCTCAGTGGTTGAATGCCCTGAGTTCAATTCCCAGTACCAAAAAAAAAAAAAAAAAAGGATGCAGTCGTAACTCTGAAGGGACAGTCCTGGGAACTGTGAGCACAGGAGTGATATGACCTGACTTCTGATTTAGTTGACAAGGAGTCCTGTAGCAGCTGTATTAGGAACACATCTGAGAGCAAGAGCCAAAGCAGGGATGATTTAGGTGGTTTTTTTTGTTTTGTTTTGTTTGGTACCAGGGATTGAACTCGGGGGCACTCAATCATTGAGCCATAGAGACAGGGTCTCATTGAATTGCTTAGTGCCTCACTTTTGCTGAGGCTGGCTTTGAACTTGTGATCCACCTGCCTCAGCCTCCCAAGCTCCTGGGATTACAGGCATTCACCACTGCACCCAGCTAGCAGACATTATTTAGGAGGTTGCACCAATGGTCCAGATAATAGGCAGTGATAGCTCAGGCTAAGCAGGCATCAATAAGGGTGGTAGGAATCAGGTATATTTGCAAGGTAGAGTAAATGGGATTTGCTGGTGGCATGTAAGAAACAAGGGAGTCAGATGTGACTTCAAATTCAAAATATCAAACAAGCATTAATTGTAATAGAACTATAAGCATCTGGTAAATAGGACAGCAAAGCCCTGGTATACCTTTAGACTTCCATCTCAATCTAATCCATGCCAAGATTGCCCTGTCTGTCCTTTTACCCATGTCCTTCCATTTCCTGGAAGTCTGTCTCACTGTGGTCTGGGGCAAGGCTTGTTAACTCATTCATGTGAAAAATATCCATGGACTGGGTCTGGAGACCATAAAAACAAGTGGTTCTGCCTCCAGGGAACTTCCAGGTTGGCTGTGAAGACAGATACATAGGCACATCATTTAACTATGTTTAGGTCCAAATCAGGTTGCACAGAGAGTCTGAGACACAAGGAGAGGTTGCTACTCATAATGGGGTGGAAGAAAGCTCCCAGGATTAAGTGACACATGACAGCAACCAGAGGCTTCTTTTTTTKGGGGGTGGGGTACAGGGATTGAACCCAGAGGCACTTTATATCCATGAGTTACATCCCCAGTCCTTTTTTATTTTGAGATAGGGTCTCACTAAATTGCTTAGGCCCCACTAAATTGCTAAGGCTGGCCTTGAACTTGTAATCCTCTTGCCTCAGCCTCAGGAGCCACTGGGATTATACGTGACTGCCACACCACTCAGTCAACAAGAGGCTTTACTAGAGCTCTAAGAAATGGCTATCTTTGTTAATAACAGTGGAGGGACACCAGAGTACTGATTAATGACCGCTGACTGGGGCAGCAATGGAAATGCCCAGTCAGAAAACCTAAAACCCTCCTGCTCTGTGAGTTCCTGTTTAATTTTCAGGGTCCAACTTAAGTGTTCATTCCACTAAGAACATTAATACCAGTGATTATTATGCATAAGGTCTTGTACTGAGTTTTGTATGTATCTTCTCTAATCCTGGTAAACACCCTATTTTAAAGGTGAGAAAACAGACTTAAAAGGGGGAAGGAATTTGTCAAAAATAGTTTCCACCAGTACCTGGGAACACTGCAAAAACTCAAAACCCGTCGAGTTAATTAAAAAAAGTCTATGGATGCTATTTACACTGCTTCATACTGCCTCCACCAGAACGTTTAGAGTTGGATAACAGCCATCTGACTTCGCCTCTTCCCGCCCACCTTGCACCATAAATTCCTCCAAGACAGCGGCTGAGTTAATTCACCTTCGAAAACCCTAACCTTTCATCCCCTCCGCACCTCCAGACCACCAGCCCCTAGCTGAGCAGCACAGATTGGGATAGCTACAAGGTTTCCCGATGAATGAACAAATAAATGAGTGGGTAAATTCAAGCCCATACTACTCTGCCATCTCTGGTCAGAGGCTGCCCATCCCAGGCCTCAGTTTCCCCAACTGCACTGCTCAGGGCCCATGCCAACCTACACAACCCCGGACGCAGGATAAGAAGAACGCACCTGCGGAAGCGGCGCGGGCTCCGCGGGCGGGGCGGGGCGGGGCGGGGCGGGACCGGACGTACCTCGGCGCTCCGGGAGGAAAGGGCGGAGCCGGAGAGTCCTAGCCGCGGCTCCATTGGCCGAGATCGCCGCCACCCGGCAGTAGTTGCAGGGGTCAGCTCCGCCTTTTCCTCTTTCCCTCGGCTCCGGTAACGGCGGGTCGTGCAGCTATGGTGAGAGCGAGAAAATCCGGCGCCATCTGGTCGCCTTAAAGTTCCCGGGCTAGGATTGGGGGTGCGGGCTGAACACCGGCGCCTCATCTGCCGGCTGGGGTTAGGGATCTCCGCGCAGAACGGCTTAGTGCCGCCGCAGGCCGTCTCCCGTCTTCTCTGCCGGGTTAGACCCGGGAGATGGCGCGCGCGGCAACTGCCCTCATATTCACGTCGCGCGGTGGGCTGGTGGCCCAGCCTAGTAGCCCTCCTGGCCTCGGGTACCCCGCCAGAATCACGACCTGAGGGTGGGTGCTGACCCTGGCTGCCCATGGCGGAGACGAGACGATCCGCGGGGTGTCTGACCCACTCCTTTCCCGCGCGCAGGCCAAGATTAAGGCTCGGGACCTTCGTGGCAAGAAGAAGGAGGAGCTGCTGAAACAGTTGGACGACTTGAAAGTTGAGTTGTCCCAGCTGCGCGTCGCCAAAGTGACAGGTGGAGCGGCGTCTAAGCTCTCTAAGATGTGAGTAGCCGGCATTGAGGGGCGCGTGCGTGTTGGGAGTGTTTGTGGACTTAGGAAGTTGGCTTCAGGAACTGGCCTGTTCAGGTGAATCATGGGGGCGCGGGAGAGACTCGCTATGTGCTTACTCTTAACTGCCTTTGATCTTGTGTGCTTTTTCTCTGGAGCTCCCTTGGTCAGCTTTTGTAGCTGGGAAAAGAATTGGTTGAAGTCCTTGAAGCTCTTAACTGTTTATCGCCAAAGCCTAACTGGAACCTTTCCTTCTACCTCTAATGAGCACTTGATTTCTTTTTTCCATGCCTCGGACTTCTTATTTAGTTGTAACTTACTTGGTTAACTTGAGTAAGGATCAGGGAGACTTGTGAAAGGAACTAGGATTTGGAGTCATTTCCCTGAATGTAAATTGCATTTTTGCCACATCTTACCTGGTAGGTAATTCAGTTCCCCTTGCAAAGGTTTCCTCTTTAAAATATGCCACCCTACATACTCATAAAATTTCTGCCTAGGCAGGTGAAACGGGTGATTGAGGTGAGGAACACATAAGCATAGTTGTGTGATGGGTCCTCCAGACTATGTTTGTTCTGATACTGAGGGTTGACCCCCCCCAGGGTAATCTACCCTGAAGATATATTCCCATCCCTTTTTAAATTTTTGTTTCTGAGGCAATCTTGCTAACTTGCTGAGGCTTGCCTGGAACTTGTGGTCCTCCTGCCTCGGTCTCCTGAGTTGCAGGGCTTGATTATAGGCAACTGGACCTCAAGACCATATTTGCCCCAGACTGCTCCTAGATTTGTCCCTATCCCCATTGCATTTCAACTTCTTGAATGTCAGGTGCCCATGACCTTAAATTAGGCTGGTTACCTGGCTTCTGGCATGATTCCCTCTCCTCTCCGCTAATTCAGATGGTGGATTGGGTTTTCATAGTCTTCATAAATTCTTGGCTTGGGATTGAAAGTCTTCTGATCCTCCTTGCCTCTTCATTAACCAATACGTCCTGGTTCAGAAGCACTGGACTTAACAGCCTTTTACTCTATTCCGAGTCCCTGTACATTCTCACGTTCAGAATCCCTTTCTCCAGGTTGAACATGGATGGCTTTTGTCCCTGCTCTACAATGTCATTATTAGCCCTGAACAAGATACTTGGAGATACTGTGTGTCATACCCCCCTTCATTGATGTTTCTGTTTTGTAGCCGAGTTGTCCGCAAATCCATCGCCCGCGTTCTTACTGTCATTAACCAGACTCAAAAGGAAAACCTCAGGAAATTCTACAAGGTGAGGGGGCCCCCTGGGGACTTGACAGCAGAAAACAAAGTTCCAGTCCTCCACTGGCCAGGGCGGGCTTTGTGAAGAGGTTCTTTTAGGGTTCACTGGGCTGAGAATATTTGAGCTCGCCAGGGCCTCCCAGTTTGTGTCTGGGTTCGCGTGTGCGTGTGTGAAACAGGATCTATTCTGTCCAGGCTGACATTAAACTCATAATTCTTGTACCTTAGCCTCCCCATCCCTTTGCTGGGATCATGAGCCTGTGCCAGCACACTCAGCTAGAGTTCATCTTACCAGCATGATTGCAGATGTCAAGAATGGTGTGGTGGGTAGTGGATCTGGCTGAAGACAACTTGAGCATTTTGGGGGGAGGGGGTTAGGTTTTTCTGTGTTTGTCTTTCCCTGCCCCATTTCCCAGGAGGGGTGTCATTAGACCCAGGGGTATTTTACCACTGAACTTCCTTAGTCCTTTTTATTTTTATTTATTTAATTTTTAAGTTTTGGAACAGAGCTTTGTTAAATTGCTGAAGCAACCCCTCTTGAGTTGCCGGGGTTACAGGCATGGGCCACATTGCCTGGCAGGGTGGTTTTTATTCTTTTTTTTTTTTTTTTAAATAAAGAGAGAATTTTAATATTTATTTTTTAAGTTTTTGGCGGACACAACATCTTTGTATGTGGTGCTGAGGATCAAACTCGGGCCGCACGCATGCCAGGCGAGTGCGCTACCGCTTGAGCCACATCCCCAGCCCCAGTTTTACCTGGTTTTATTCTTATAGTACTGAGGATCCGGCCCAGCACCTTAAGCATATTAGGCAAGTGCTGTTCCACAGAACTGTGTCTCCAGTCTAGGAATGCCAGGGCTATGTGTCAGTCGCTACCAGGCATCTGCCATTCTCATTTGCCAAACCCCAGGGTTCAGAGAGGTCAAGTTGCTCAGAGTCATCTACAGTCAGAAAAGTGGCAGGACTAGCTTCCTGTGTCTTAGAGAGGACTTAATGGGTGCTCCTCAGATTTCCACAGGTGTCTAGCCCCTTGACCTTGAATGTTAATGGCCATTTTTGTGGCTTTCTTTAAAGTTAGCGTTATCCAGGTGCCAGCAGAAGCCATTGGGTTCTTAAATTCACACATTTGATTTACTGTCTGGAATTGGTTCATGTGACTAAGACTCATGACAACACTGGAAGCTGCTGTCCCGGGTTGGATTTCTTGGAGGGCACCTCAATCTTGCTTTTAAATGCTTTTGACTGACTGAATCAGCTGCCTGGATTACTCTGGATAATCTCCCTTAATTGAAGTCATCTGATGGGGATTAATTAATGCTATCTAGTGGCTTCACATCAAAACCCAAGTTAGTGTTGGTGTTTGACTCACCAAAAAAGCTAGTATGGGACTGAGGCTCAGTGGTAGAGCACCTGCCTTACACGTGTGAGGTGTGAGGCACTGGGTTCTATCCTTGGCACCACATAATAAATATTGTGTCCGTCTACAATTTTTCTCTTTTTTAAAAGCTAGTATGGTGTGTCTGGGCCAGCTTCCCAGAAGACACTGGTGTGTAGGGGGTGATTACCCTCCTGATAGGGTATGTGCACATTTGTGTGAGAGGACATTTTTATCCTTAGGAGTGAGTCTGGAGCCTCATAACTAGCCATCCATTGAGGGCCCCTGCTCTCAGCTCAAACTGCTCAGTAGAGGAGGTAGGGGTGAGGGCTACACAGGGGAACACTGATGGTGATGTTCCATGCTGCACTGTCAGCCATGTGTAGCGAGTGGCTGCTGTGTTGTACAGCAGAGCTTGCAAGAGGTAGTAAGCTTGAAGTGAATTAAGTGCCCCACCAGTACCAGCAGATGAGCAGGAAGTGGGTGGACAAGATTTCCTTTCCTTTGAGTTCCTTCCAGGGCTTGCCCTCATCGCCTTCCATAGTTTCTCTCTGCGGTTCTCTGCCTTGTCTCCTGCCCATTGGGTGGCTGGTCCCCCAGGGAGAGATGTTGAGGTTTTTACACATGCTCTGCTTCCTGCCCTTTCAACCGATGGCTTTCATGCTAGCCTTTGAGGCTGTTGTTGCTAAAAGAAGCCTTCCTGAAACTTCTGCCTCCTCATCTTTGGGCCTTGTTGTCTGTTCAGTCTTTGCTACTGGGTTGGGATCTTCTTGAGCAGAAACTAGGTCTGCTTCGTTGCTATGCTTACACTGGGCCTTGTCCTCAGGGCTGTTGCTAAACAAAGAAGAGACCAGTGAACCACCCTAGTCTGGGGCCCTTGGCTTGAGAGGAGTGGGAGAGGGTAAACACGATGGCTCTTTTTCAGCTCTGGGCAGTAGAGGGGCAGAGCCTGCCCCTTATGCTGGTAATCTTGGCCAAATCTTCCTCAATATCTGGCATAACTGAAAGCCAAGGGAGTAGTTAGTAACCACCCTGGGATCTGGTGGGTGTCACATGCCCTTTGTTGGATTGTGGTGTGACTTTGGCTTCATTATTGGCAGCCTGGCAAGTAGAAGGAACACTGAGGTGTGGGCACCTCTAGACCCAGTGAGTCAACAGCCTTACATAAAATGAGGACAGCCCCACCAGCCTTGGATTTTGGGCTGGTGAGTGACCATGTGGCCTGCTGGCCTTCAGTCCCACATAGCAGCCTCTTATTGGGTGAACGTCCTACAACCCCTTGCTGCAAATCAACTTCTCTGTCCCCACAGCACCTTCCCACTCAGCATCTTCCTAGTGGTCTCTCCAAGTCTCATTCTGGCCCCTCAGGTCTTCTTCATCCTGCTGTTGCCCCTAAAATCCTGTTCTCAGATTGACCCTGCTGTCTGTATCCCAGGGCAAGAAGTACAAGCCCCTGGACCTGCGGCCCAAGAAGACACGAGCTATGCGCCGCCGGCTCAACAAGCATGAGGAGAACCTAAAGACCAAGAAGCAGCAGCGGAAAGAGCGGCTGTACCCTCTGCGCAAGTACGCGGTCAAAGCCTGAGTGTCACGGCGCAATAAAACAAAAACTGGCTTTCAGTGCTTTGTGCTTAATGCTGTTTCCACAGACCAGACTGAATAGGTGGTTTGGGGCTAAGGCTGGAGCTACAGTGCCAGGTGTCTAGTGGTGTCCTGCCACCTGTAGATGTCAGCTGCCTTGGTGTGGTGTTGGCAGTCCTGGCTGCAGGGTCTGATGGGCACTCTTAGTTACTGTGGGCCTGTGTTGTTCAAGTGTGACTTGAACAAGCAGTGGACTTGGTGTCTTGCCTAAATAGCAGCTCCAGACACCAATAGTTTGCCTTGTCGGGTGAAGGCACAGGTGTGGGCCACATCCAGAAATCCCTGCCAGAAGCACAGCACCAGGCTCCAGATCCTRAAGTCCTTCCTGGATCCCTCACTGGGGGCTGCAGCTACAGGTCTTACCTTCAAGGTCTCAAGGCACTTTCCTGTGTTGTAGTCCCAGACTTTGATCTGGAAGTAGAAGAATAAGGGATAGGAACCTCAATAGGCCATAGTGGCATTTTTGAAGCAGCTCCCCAGCAAGTCCCAGACACCATCATGATCTGCCTGAAGCTATATAGGTCATAGAAGTGTCAATTCCACTGCAGTCTGGTCTGGCTCAGACCTTAGTGCTGGCGAATAGACTGGGCAAGTGGACTTATGGACATTTCTGGAAATGGGTACTGAAGACTGGGAAGCGGGGCATGTGAGCAAAGAGTCAGGAATGGCTGGGTTGGGCTGGATAGGTTACCGTTCCAGAGTAGCTAGCGCTGGCCAGCTGCCCCTCATCCGGAGAGAAAGCTATGCTGTTCACCCAGGCTACATGGCCCTTGAGCTGGACCATCAGGCTGCTGGTATTGGGTTTCCAGATGTGGATGTTCTTGTCCCAGGAGCCAGATCCCTAAAGAGAGCTCTGTGCCAGTGAGTATGGGGCCAGCATGCTCACTGGACACCCAAATGGCTCTTTAACCAAAGACTATCCTGAAACCCAGGGCCACCTTACCAGGAGGCCAGATGATGAATAACACAAACAGCTGATGTTGCCGCTGTGACCCTCCAGTTCCTGATGGAATATAGCTGGGGTCCCTACCCGAAGGTCCCAGATGCGCACAGTAGAGTCCCATGAGCCTGTGGCCTGTAAGCAGTGGCCATAWCTGAAGTAGCCCCAGCCTGCCCTTCTGGGGCCACTGAGGCAGGGGTCAAGGCAGAAGTGAAGCTTACCAGGCAGTTGGCATTGGGGGAGAAGTCGCTACTCTGGATGGAGTCATGGTGCCCTTCCAAGTGGCGCAGTTTGTGTCCCGACTGAGGAGAGAGGCAGAGGGCAGACCCAGGCCCTCCCTGCTTGGCAGCCTGGGTATTATGATAAGAGCACTGCCTGGGGAAGCACTGGGGGCCTAGATGGGGATCTCCTGCAAAGGAGATTAAGGCCCAAGATCTGATGCGGTGTGTGTAGGGAGGCTGGGAGAGGGCTGCAGTGGGGAACTAGCAAGGGTTTGGACCAGCAAAGCAAGAGGTGTGGCAGGTGGTGGTCCATTCTGACCCAGGCCTGGCGGTCCCCAGCCCCTTCACATACCTGCACTTCCCAGAGCATCACCTGCTTATCCCAGCCACCTGATGCCAGCTGTCTTGAGTCAGGGCTGAAGCTGAGTGTCTCCACACTCCGCTGGTGACCTGCAGTCACCATCCCAGTGACAGAAGTTGGGGGAGGTGAAACAGGATACAGTCCTGGAAGGGGACCCAGGCTGGCCATGTGGCACCCAGGCCCATCCCCACTCACCTTTCAGCACCCACAGACATTCGGCTCTTGATAGGTCCCACAGGCGGATGGTACGGTCACTGGAGGAGCTGGCAAAAAGGTAGCCATCGGGGGAGAAGCAGCAGAACTTCACCGGGCCTGAGGCAAGGAGTTAAGGGCACTGCCCTCTGCTCACTGCCCAGGTCTTATGGCCGCCCACCCATCACCCAAACTCCAGTCACCTGGAAATGCTTGGATTTCCAACCTGGGCCTGGCCAAGGCTCAGCCTGGAATATCTGACCCCAGTTTGTTAATCTAGAAAGTCTACTCAGATGTAGGCACCTCCTCCCTTAAACCTCCCTAACTCCCAGCCTCCGTTCCAATCTGCCTTTCAGCTCCCCAGCCTGGACTTCCCTATTCATGGTGTTAAATAAGTCTGCTCTGCAATTTCCTGGTTTTGTTTTCCTTCTCTCCCTAATGGTTAAGTCTACTGGGTCTTTACTGGGTGCTAGGCTTTTTGTGTTATCTGATTTTGTAAGGTAGCAACTTATCTCCATTCTATAGAGGAAGGAACTGGGTCAGGTGACATGACAACCAAGATCATAGTCCAAAAGTGGTAGATAGAATATAGATGGCCCTAGAAGGCATGCTAAGTGAAGCCAGTGAAAAAGACAAACACCATTGATAAGACAGAAGTAGAACAGTGGTTAGGAGTAGGGAGAGGAGTTGTTTAGTGGGTACAGTTTCAGTTTTGCAAAATGAAAAGAATTCTATAAATTAATTTTGTAACGTGAATGTACTTATCTCTGAACTCTACCTTTAAAATGGTTAATAAGTGCCAGGTGAGATGGTGCACGTCTGTAATCCCAGCTACTTGGGAGGCTGAGGCAGGATTGCAAGTTCAAAGCCATCCTCAATAAGTTAGCCAGACGCTATCTCAAAAAATAAAAAGGGCTGGGAATGTAACTAAGTGGTAAAGTGCCCCTGGGTACAATCCCCAGTACTGGAAAAAAATAAAAATTAAGGTCTGAGTTCTGATCTAAGAGCTGGAAGTCCCAGCTATCAAGAAGTCCTATCTCCTTGTCTGGCTGTTCCAGCTATGTCCAGGACCAGTGTTGGAGGTCACTAAGTTAGGCTCTGCAGAATGCCAGCACAGACCTATGGACCTCTGTCCCCCAGCCAGAGTGCAGAGCCCCACCTGTGTGGCCACCCAGCCTCCACAGCAGCTGCCCACTCTTGGTCTCCCAACCGTACAGATAGCCGTCCTCAGAGGCTGTGAGCAGCGTCTGGCCATCAGGAGAGAAGGCAGAGCAGTTGACCTGGAAGTAGAGCACAGATGTGGTCCCATTGCTGGGACAGGAGATACCTGTCCATTCACTTCTGATCCCATCCTCCTGGGCCAGCCCTAAACACTGCCCAGGAACCTGCAGTGGTGATTTGGACTTCAGACCTCACTGTGTAACCCAAGCTCGGAACCCTGTAACCTGAGCTGAAGCCAGAGCTGGAGCCCGCCTTAGAACCCCAGAGGCAAGACCCCTTTACAGAGGGGGAGCAAGTTCAGAGCAGCCCTGAGTTCATTTCAGAGCCAAAGCCCAAGAATACTGGAGCCAGCAGGAGCTTCAAGCCCTCTGGAACTAGAGCCCGTTCTGGAGCTGAAGCCCAGGGAACACCCTGAACCCCCATTACACAGAACCGGGGACTTGACTCCCAAGCGAGGAGCCTAGAGCCTGGGCAAAGCCCATTGGGCCTCACCTCCCCGCGATGCCGGCCAAAGAATGTCACTCTCCCCACGGAAAGTGGAGCCCTGCTATTCATGGGCCCCCGACGGTCCGACCTTGGAGGATTCACTCCTAGGCCAGCGCTAGTCCCGCCTGCGGAACCGCGTTTAGGACTGGCCGGAGGAAAAAGGGAAACTGTGTACAAGAGATCTCCATGGTAATAAGGGCGGGGCGCGCAGCCGCGTTGGGGACTTTGGGAAGCCACAAGGAGAAACAAAATCTGGGGAAGAGCTCTCAACTTGGGGAAGGTGCGGCTGCGGCTGGCAGAACCGCCGTGGGCAGCTGGGAGGAGAGGCTTCCCGCGCTGGCCTTTGCCTGCCCCGCTTTGGGCTGCTCAACCACGAGTCGCGACTGCTCAGAGCAACCGCTAGAGGGCGCGCCAGATACGCACCTCGGCTCGGCGCAGCGCGCCCGCAGGCTCTGAGCCCGTGTTCAGTGTTACGCAGTTTGCAAAGCGCTCCGCAGATCTCTTTAACAGGACTCGGGGTAACAGTGTGCCTGTTTACCCATCTGCACACCGGGGAGGATCAGCCCTGTCCGGCAGGACTCCAAGGCTGAACCAAGCACAGGGAGGGCCTGGAACACAGTAGGTGCCCAAGAGGACTGGCTTTGGAGCCAAGAACCTTCTATCTAGGAATGATTGGTTCAGAGGCTGAGAAAGATCAGGAGAGGACTGGGAACAGTAGCCATCACTACCCTCTAGGGTGTGGGGAGCCAGAGGCAGTGAGCGCAAAGTTCAGAGCATTGAAAAATGGGGTCAAGCCAGGTGCAGTGGTGCACACCTGTAATCCCAGCAGCTCTGGACATTGAGGCAGGAGGATTGCGAGTTCAAATCCCACTTCAGCAAAAGTGAGAGCTAAACAACTCAATGAGACTCTGTCCCTAAATAAAATACGAAATAGGGCTGGGGATGTGGCTCAGTGGTTGAGTACCCCTGAGTTCAATCCCTGGTACCAAAAAAGAAAAAAGTGGGGTCAAATCCCAGTGACTTGGGAGGCTGAGGCACGAGGATCTCAAGTTCGAAGTCAACCTGGCAACTTAGCCAGACCCTATCTCAAAATAAAAAGGGTTTCCGTTGTAGCTCAGTGATAGAGTGCCCTGGGTTCAATTTCCAGTACTGCCTCACACCCACCAAAACAGGATCTGGCTTGGATAACTTGGCCAGAAACCTGGAAAGAACAGGTCCTGAGGAAACAGGACCCAAGAAATAGGAGACTTGCCCAAGGCCACTCAGACAGTAGAAGCGGGACCAGGATTCTGTCCCACATCTGACTGACTCCGGGATCTGTATCCAGACCATGTGCTGTGAATTCCAAGGTTTGGAAGCAGGTGCTATATCACTGACTCCTGGTATATCTGGAAAACTGAAGTCCCCAAGGGGACAGAATTTGACAGTCACCCAGCAGAGCTGAGGACAGAACCCAAGCTGTCTCCCAACCAGCCCCAGCCACAGTGGAACAACAAGGTGGGATAAATTCACCCCCAATGGATTCCAGGATCCTTGAGGCAGGTGGGCAGCTAGGCAGCTGGGCTTTGGGTGTTTCAAACTCAAGGGTTCCCATCAGGGACTCAGCCCCTCCCCCCAGGCCCCTTGGCCAGAAACTTCTCACGGGATAGCTGTGTTCCTGCTCTATTTTAGGCCCCAGACAGGCGAGTGAGGGGGCAACAATGGTGGCTTTGAGGCAGCCCCACCCCCATCTACACTCCCAGAGGACCCAGGTCACTGAGTTGGCTCCTCTAGTCCCCGTCTGAGCTGGAACTAGATGGCTGGCCCCCAACCCTGGGCATGGGTCCCAGACGCGTTCTCCCAGAATGAGATCCCTGGCCCTTGGCCTCCCCCTGCTCAGATACCTCGACCCCATGCCCCTTCTCTGGGCACATTTTCTAGCCACCTGGTCACTCTCGCTCACTCTGTGGGCCCAGAACTGCCTTCTTCAGCCCACCTATTACTCCCAGAGCCCTCCCAGTCGACCTTGTCTACCAGGCCCAGTGATTCCTCTGCCCATGGGGTGGAGCTGGGGTTAAAATGTATCTCCTTGCTCCTGAGGTCTGGTATTGCAGTGAGCTACCATGAACCCTAGTCTCGGGGCTTCATCCTACCCCCACGCTCACGTTGCCCCTTCTGCCACCATCACCTTCACCTGGGCCTGTTAACAGCAGTACCTTCTGCCTGGAGTGCTCTTCTCCATCCTCAAATCAAGCTCAAACCTCACTTGCTTGTCCACTACCTTCCCTTGCCAAACCTTGTCCCTCAGCCTAAGTTAGAGCTCCTGCCTCAGAGATAAGCAAACCCAAATCCCCGGAGGACTTCAGGCTGCAAAAGGAATGAAGCAAGGAGACTAGCACAGGCAGGCATGACTCCTGCTCCAAGCTGCCAGAGGAGTGTCCTCAGTTCGTAGGAGTCAGCCCTGCCCACCTGGCCCTGCCCACCTGGTGCTTCCCACCTCTCCCCACTCTCCTGGCTTCCTGCTCTCTGCCTCATTCCTTGTTCCTCCCAGGCCTGAACAGTTTTTGGAGCTGCTGGGTTTAGGCTGAGGGGTTATGTAGCGCCAGGTATGGGCAGTGTTTTCTGACCAGTGCTTTGAGAAGCAGGGAAAAATATTTTGTGGCAAGAGAGGAAACAGAGAGTTGGAGCTGATTGCCCAGCTCCTGCCAGCTCCCAGCTCCCCGCTCCAGTCCCCAGGCCTGCCCCTCCAGAACTAAAAGAACTTTACTGTGAATCCCTTGTGCCAAGTGAGCTCTGACAGGTGCTTGCCACCCAAAGGACCTTGATGAAAACATCTCTGTAAGTTCCAGAAGCTGGTGCCCAGTACTTTGTCTTTGGGCCTCTTCTCTGGGGCCCCCTACAATCATTTGCATACTGGGATCCTGGTTCCCCATGGGTCCCCCGAGCTATAATCAATGCCCTCAAGTCTCTGTGACTTCCTCATGACCTGGATCACCTCTGTTAGAACACACTGATGTGTGTTCAATGCCCCTCCTGGTATCTGGGGACCAGAACTGTTCCTTACATGGACTGGCAACTGCTGAGTGGAAAGGCACTATCCCCTCCACTTCCTAGACACTCAGTCTCTAGTAAGGTGGCCTGCAATACCAGAAGCACTTGTGTTTTCAGCAGCTGCATGAGTCACTACAAACACAGCATGTGCTTTTTCCCACGAACTGCTGTCCAGCCAACTCTCCCTCCCCGTCTGGTACTTGCAGTGGATTCTTTGGAAACACATGAAGACCTTATATTACGCTGGTTAAATGTCATCTTCCTGGCTCTCATCCACTCTTGAGCACTGTAAGAGTCCCACTTCCTTTGCACAAAGCATTAATTCTACTGTGGCAGCTGCGAATTTATGAGTAGGCTTCTGGATTTCAAAATCCAAATTGGGGAAATGATGCTCCGTGGGACGGGGCAAGGACAGAGCCCTGTGACCAATCACTACAGACCTCCAGTGATGTTGTTTCTGCTCCTGCCCGTACCCATGGGAATCAAGGACTAGCCAGTGGACCCAGGGGAGGGCACACTCCCACAGGAGATGTCCAAGTGGGGAGAAGGTAATGCAGCCTGAGCAAGACTCCAATTGCAAACAACTAAACCCTGGATGGCCATGTGAGACAGGCTGGGTGTCACAATGGGAAGACAGCAATACCATCAGGCTAGGAAGGACAGGAAGTCAAACTGCCTTTTCCAAGGGAGGTTGAAACACTTCCTTCTTGAAGAGCATGTGATTGACCCAACAGGGGGTTATATGGCCATCCCTTGGCTAGGGGAGGTCAGCACACCTTGATTGGCAGTCCTTGGAGACCTGGGCTTCTGCGCCACCTCCTCCCTGCTGTCCGTCAATCAGGGATCTATCTCTAGGTCTGTCTAAAGCCAGCTGTGCACCTGCGCCTGTGTGCTCTGGGGACAGACATTTCATCCAAATCTGGCTCCATCACCTACCAGCTGTGACCTCGGGCCGTTCCCCACCTGCTGCGTGCCTCTTCTTCAACTCTAACTTAAGGGTGGTGACCAACCCTTCCTGGGAGCGTAGGCCTTGGGGCTCAGTTCATGTCTGTCCAGCTTATCTGGCCCCCGGGGAGCAGTGAGCGTATCCTCAGCTCTGAATGGTTAGCTAGCATGGCCGCATCCCCTAATGTGAGCCCAGCCAGGAGCCTCAGAGATAGCAGGGAAAAAACGCTGTGTCCAGATTTAATAACTGGTCACCCTGTTTTTTTAAGGAGGGGCAAGTGGTTTGGTTTAACTTCCATTGACCCTCCTTGGCTTCTCTGGCTACTGCTTCCTTCTCTGAGCACTCAGGCCACCTACTGAACAATCTGTCTCATCAGTGGACATTTTGACCATCAAAACTGCCTAACAGGGCGGCAACTGCTGGGTTTGCCATTTCTAGAAAAGAAGCACAGTGGTGCTATCTTGCTGCCGGCTTCCAGCCTCTGAGCCATTCAGTGTGGTATAAACCCACACCTTTCACACAGGCTCCTCTTTCTCTTTTTCTCTTTAGAACTGGAGATTCCCAACCTTTCTATTTTTGTATTTTGAGACAGGGCCTCACTAAGTTGCTGAGGCTAGACTCCAATCCTCCTACCTCAGCCTCCCAAGTCACTGGGAATATGAGCATGCACCACCCCACCCAGTAACACTCTGGCTCTTGTGAGATACAATTTCTCCAGCCAAAACACTTCTGTTTGGGTAGCAACATGACCCGGATGCCAGAAGAAAACTGAGAAGCTCAGGGGGCCTGACCACCACCCACTGTCCCCAGCAGCTCCTGGCCCTTCCAGCTCCAGGGCTTAGGGACTTGTGGCCACAGGCCTCCTTGGGCCTCACCCACATTCCCGTGACTCTTACAGAAGAAAAGAGTGCTCTGAGGCCCTGGGATGGACACAATGGAAGCCTTGAGCCTCCACCCTCCTAGTGCCTGGCCCAGTGTTGGGATGGAGTGAGGGGCTGGTGTGGTAGCCAGCTATGCAGCCAGCAGGGCCACAGCCCAGACAGAGGACTCTTAGGTGTTCCACTTATTTCATGTTTTTTAAATCCTTAAATGT